AGCATATCAAAGGGACAGTACCGTGGAAACACTTGCAATTAACGCATTAAAAATTAATATGTTAATTGTGCTCTGCGTCAATCACAGGCATTAATGAAAGTTAATTGACAGCCTTAACCAGTGTGTTGACTGAGGTTAGCAATATTGGAGCCTGAAGCTGATCAGTGCTGCCCTATGTGTCACTGAGGACTGAGAGAATTACCCTAAGAGGGTTTCATGCACACACAGAGACATACACACACAATATTCTTGAAAACATGTTAGCTTTTTTTTCAGTTTCCCACTCCCTCATTGCTGTGTTTGAAGGCAATTTTTCTGACTATAGTATCAGGAATTGACAGACCCGCTAACAGGGGGGACAAAAAGGGCAATTGCCCCAGGGCCCAGTGATTCTAAGCGGTCTGGGACTCCAGAGCTCCATGGTGTGCACGGTATCTGTCTCTGAGAGCTGCCGGGTGAGGGGGCACTAGGTTCCCTGGGCAGTTCTGGTGGCCCCATCCCTTCCAGTAGTGCAGAGCTGGCCCCTCCCTCCACATTGCCCAGAGGCCTGGCAAACCTGTTGGCTCAGCAACAGAAGCCTTCATTCTCTCATTGACTAAAGTTCAGTACATAAGAACAGCCATCTAGCCCAGTATCCTGTCTGCTGACAATGGCCAATACCAGATGCCCCAGAGGGAGGGATCACAACAGGTAATCCTCACATGATCCCTCCCCTGTCACCCACCTCCAAAGAAATAGAGACTAGGGATACCATTCCTATCCAGCCTGGCTTATAGCCGTTGATGGACCTAAACTCAATGAATCTCTCTAGCTCTTTTTTGAACCCTGTTAAAGTTCTAGCCTTCACTGCATCCTCTGGCAAAATATCCTATTTCATCATTTTGATTTTCCTCAGTTAATACAAATTTAAGAAAGCATATTTTAGATTATTTTAGATTATCTATGCCAAACTAAGGCACAGTTTGGCTGACATCAGTCATGGCGGAGTACATCTTTCTTCCTGTGGAATTAATTTTTAGATAAAATGCTTCTAATTTTATTATTTTCGTATTTTAAAACTAACATTATGCAATGGACACTTTTTAAAAGTTGCGGGTAGAGTTTTCAATATCAAACATTTTTATTTTCATTTATAAGGTAATACTAAGCCAAACTACACAATCACCTAACTTTAGATTAAATTAAAACATCTTGGAAGAAAGTTAAGTACTGTAGTACTTCTAAACATCAGTATACCTTGATGATATAATCCAGATCTGCATTTTCATTTTTTAGATCTGTAAGCCCCACTGCTTTTTATAAGAATAACCTTCTCACAACATATACCAGTTTATAATTATTGTATAATGCAAATTATTTTTGTATAGTGTTACTCATTCTAAATAATTATGAAACACTGAACATGCAGCTAGCCTGAATTTAAAAGGTTTTCCAATTTGGCTTACAATAGATATTTTGTCAAATTATAGGCAACATTTTGATATTTGGTCTTAGCTGAATTGTTTTTCAAATACCTAGTCAAACTATTTAGAAGGTAGCTCCAGTCCCCCACCTACTGTACTGACTATATAAGAATTTTGCCTGTTTTTCCTTACTTCCTTCTTCTTTCTTTCTTTATTTCAAATATCACCCACAACTATCTCTGGAAAACAGGACACATTTTTAGGCAATTCTGGTCCTTTCTGATTCTGCCACCCACGATACTAGCCATTTACTGCCATCATTTTACTGTAGTCAGCTCACTGCCTTCCTGCCTCTGTATCTCTAACCTCCATTCCTTATCACTACTGTTGCTTTTAAACAGCCTTCCCCAGTACCTAAATCCTGCTCCCACTCAGGATTGAATTGCGGAACCCTGGAATACTGGAAATCTGAGGTGTGCTATAGGCCAACCTGCCAATTTGAAACCTGCTCAAATAATGCAAGTTTGCAGCCTGCTCGAATAACGCAAGTTTGCAAATTCAATCCCAAAACTTCTGGATTTGCATGTCTCACATAGGAGACTATAAGAAATAGAACAGTAAATAACGAAAGCAACACAGTGGGGGAAAGGGGAAATTAAAGAACAAGCAGAGTGATAATCCCAAATTGGACAAAAACATATAAAACAGATTCCCACTTGGATAAAATATTGTTTTTTACACTTAATAAGTCATGATAATGGTTTTAAATTACAGGAGAAAGTTTCGCGGACTTGAATACCTATAAACTCAAAACACTGTTTATTCAGTTCTTAAAACCTAAAACTGTGTGAGTTTTGCCAATCCTCTAAATATTTTAGCCCCTATGGCAGGCATTTGATTCAGTCCTCACTCTTGCAATGTGTACTTTAAAACTATCATTTTGCTACTTGTATCATCATGCAGACTCTCTTATTCCCTATAGGTCAATAGTACAAGCAAAAGGGCATTCAGAGTTATGGTCTTTAACCTTTCCAGCATGCATTAGTTGACTTCATGTAACAGGTTCTTGAAAAGAGATTTGAAAAAATCATCAGGTTATTAACTAAGTGCAGTCAGCTTAGCCCATAGGGGTTAGTGTGGGAGAGAGCTTTACACTGCCAATTATGGAGAGAAAATAAATATTTTAGGAGCATAAAAATTGATTAAAAAATAAAGGTAAAAAAGACAAAGGGAATGTCATTGGAGGCTCTGGAAGAGTAGTAGGGAGATTTTATACTGAAGTCTGTAACATAAAATCCCATGAAGAATTCTGAGGTTGGGAGTGATTTGTTCTCATTTCAGAATAAACATAAAACAAGCTGCCACATGATGGATAAACTGCAGTTTCTACTGTTTGGATGCACTGAAGCTATGAAGAAGAGAATTACAGGGCAGGTTTTTTGGTTATAGGGTTTGGGGTTTTTTTTACACTTTTACTGACAAGGAAATAGAGAAGGAATAAAAAAAACTAAATAAAAAAAATCTAGAGAGATGATCACAGGAGGGTGGAAAAGAAATGATAGGGGTGATAAAAGCCCATGCAGCTGCTGCATCCTCTTCCTTCCCAGATTCTAGAGGCATTACCCCTAAACCCACCACAATTCTTTGTGGAATTTCCAACAGAAATAATCACTTAAGCATGAAACTGCTCCATTTTCAAGATCCACACCTTCTACTCTCCTAGACTGACTGAGATAGGCTATAATAGACCAGCTAGAGAAACAATGACAAACTGATTGCTAACAAAAATATGCTGGGAGAGGGTAAGAATGCAGAAAATAAGATGCAGCCCTTCAATACACATTCCCTTCCTGGCTTGCATATGCTTTGCAAATACACACAGATCACTAATTTATCTATCAATTGCAAGATCATTCCCACAATGGAAGAGAAATTCTTCCGAATGGAAGGGATGATACCTCTGGAATCTTGCAAGTTAAAACTTGCTGTTTTCCATGTGACATACTGTATGCAAGGGAAGATGATGATGTAAACCAAGATAAATTTAATCTTATTACAACTACAGCTCTGTGTCTTGCAATGTGAAAAAATGAGCAATACAGTACAGCATAAAAAATAATTTTCCAGCACCTGTTTGGAGAAGGATCTTCTCCCCTAGAATCTAAGCTTGTGTATTTCATAGTTAGAGGGCTGATATTTGACCACTCTCCCAATTATGAAGTGTCCAGATTCAGAAGTTGCTACTGTACTTTTTCTAGTTGTCTGGGTCTGATTGGTTGAATTCCATCTAGGAGAAAATAATTAGAGTCTATCCTTTATATTTGCATACTGTGTGTATCTGAATCATTGTCAGTTTGTTGTGTGAGGGCAATGTCATTAATGAAAAAAGCACTACAGCCACTCCCTAGTGAAAAGGAAAACACTTTCTAGGTCTGTACACTTCAAGCTCTTCCTAAGTGAAAAGTCTGCTATGGTGCTCAGCTGCTGCAAAGGGAATACAAGATGTATGAGAGGCTCCTTGCACCTTTTATGCCCTGGAAATACGCAGGCAAAGACCGGGCATTGCATTACCTCCTTTTTCATATTCTGAAGATTGCTTGAATTGGTCTAATTACATTCCAATCCCAAGTTCTGTCATGTTATGAAACCAAATTTTGACTATAACCTATTGAACAAATGAAAGGAGGTGGTACACTTTCTTCCTTTTGTGAATTAATAACCAAATATCACAGATTTTGTAAAAAATGTCATCGGGAAACCAAAGTAGTTCAGTCTGAAAGCATGATTGCTGGGCTCTCATCTAAACAGACACATGGTGATAGTCATGTATCTTTAAATGACTGAGGTGATTTACCAAGTAAATAGTTCACTCACACTATTCTCACAGAGAGAAGCACTTTATTGCCCTGTGCCCCTTTAGTGTTTTTCTTTTTTAAATATCTTTTCATTTTGGTCAAGCAAACTTCTGTTCCAGAGAACAAAGCCTTCATTTGGATTCTCTAATCTTTATGGTGCTAGCAAGGTGGTGTCAAAAAAGTTAGTCAAGGCATGCTGAGCTACAGGTCTGTGGGGCAAAAAGCAGTCACAAGAGACTTTCCACCCACCTTAGAAGGAGACCATATTACTATTCTAACTACTTCCTATGGAAGTCACAGTTGTATCAACATCCTGCTGTTTTGTTTGTATTTAACTTGGGATATGACTCTCTATACTCTCAGCATGAATCCAACAATTAAATGGAAACAGTCCACAGGTTACAAAAAACATCCTACTTTTCAAAAGGTTTGTGTGTGTGTGTGTGTGTGTGTGTGTGTGTATGTACACACCTTTTCTTCACATGCATTAGGAAAGTATCTAATATATATTTAAATCAACTGCTTAAATAGCTTTCATAATAGGGAAAAGATTAAAACAATCTTTTCCAATATATAGGTTGACATTTATTGTGCTTCATGTTAGGACTGAGCAAATTATTTAGAGAAAATTGTTAATATGCATCTTATTTTCAGAACAGTAGACTAGAAAAAAATCCAATCCTGGTAACTTTGTGTAGATAGAGTTGATCCAAATAATAATCACATAATGTCATACATCCAGTGCTATTTATTCTATAATTATTGAAAAGGCGTTGCTTGTTAGAACAACTGTCTTGAAACTAATTCAGTGATGCACCAATATTTTTACAGGAACATCCAGGTACTAGTATTACCTCTGTTTCTGGATAGGAACTGGATTATCCACTTGTTTTCTTCCTTGAACAAGAAGTATTGTAAACTATAATGAATGAAGGAGGCAGCATCATTTCCCAAACACATCTATATTAACAGGACATTATTAGTTTATATTTTGTGAGTTTTAAAAAGTAAGGTAAAAGTACTTTCAGGGAATAGACCTACTCCCAGGTCACTCTGACAATTTTCCTATTTTGCTAAAGTGCTTTTCTTTCCCCTGTTGAGCATGAATTACTCACACAAACAACAGGGAAAACTAAATAACTGGCTGACTACACAAAGTGACTTAAACTGAAAAGATAAGGAAGGACAGAGAACTTCCCAATATGTCCTTCCTCAGTTCACTCCCTCAAAGAGCTTCCTGAGAGTTTATGTTGCTTCCTTTCTTCCTATATCTTCACCATCGATAACACTCTAGAAACACATCCTTCTCCTCACCAAATTACTCAGATTAGACTGTCCCTCCCCTCCTTCAGCTCCTGGATCCATCCAAGATCTCCCAACAATAAAAAAACAGAAACAACAAAAGCCATTTCCTTTGGAAGAGCATGCAAGGCAAGAGAGGGGAGCAATTTCAGAGACCAGCCTCCTGCCTGAGACTGGCCTCTAGTGGCAATTTTAGCAGCCTTTTCCTTGCTTTGCAGTTTAGCTGAATCTTTGATGGGGAGGAAAAGTGTTCAGCTCTCCTGCAATACACAGCAGCCTCAGATTTTCTTTCTCTCATTCCCTGCTTCTTCATTCTCTCTTCTCCCCTCCCCTACTTTTCCTTTCAGATGGAGCTGAATGTTTGGTAGAGGGGAAAAAAAAAAACATGGGAGCGTTCCACTTTTCCCTGAAAAACTGCAAATATGATGATACACAGGTTCTGCCAAAAGCACAAAGAAAATACACTAAAAAACAAATACATGTATTTTTTTAGTCTCTTTCAGTTATAACAACCACAACTGTTCCTGTTATAAATGAAGTGATTTTTAAGTTGGTGGTATCACTACATTGGAGAATCTTATGAAAAAATAACAGATGTTATGGATACCTCTACACTGCAGTTGGGAGTTGCTTCTGAGTGCAGGCAGAAAGACACAATGAGCTCTGCTCAAGATAACACATTCAAAATCTCAGAGGGGTAGCCGTGTTAGTCTGTAACTTAAAAAACGAGTAGTCCTGTAGCACCTTAGAGACTAACAAATTACATATACCTATAGCATCAAGCGTTTTTATAGGCAAAACCCACTTCCTCAAATGAGCAGAGGAAGCTAGCTCAACACATTGCCCCTGTCACCCTGGTCAAACTGCTACTCTTTGCATGATAGCTCAAACAGACCTAGTGTGTGTCTGTCTGCCTGTGCTAAGAGGCATATTCCCAGCTGCAATGTGATGGTATGAACTATAAGAGACGGGGAAATTATCCAACTTTCCTTTGTTGGCAGGAATTTTGTCTGGAGTTTGCTCAGAGTCCCCTTTAATTTGTCACTTAACTGACTAGATGCTTAAAGGAAAACATTCAGTGCATAATATTAATGTCTCAAAAATATGGATGCACTGATTTTCAAGTCAAAACAATGAAATTCAGTTTCTGTCTAATGTATGTAACTGATCCTGTGAAAAATTATTACCAAGTGTACTTTTTTCCCACCCTCATCTTCACAGACTTGATGAGAACCACAAAGAGTTAGTTCCTGAGGCCACATCTATATTTACCGTACCAGAGATCACTCTTCTGGTGTTCGATTTAGCAGGTATAGTGATGACCCACTAAAGCAAATGCTGAGGGTACCCCAATTGACACCAGAACTCCTTGATTCATAAGAAGTAAGGCAAGTTGATGGGAGTGTTTGCTCTTGTCGACCTCCTGCTCTGGAGATGGAGCCAACCTCTGCTTAAGGAAATCCAACTTCAGCTATGTTATTTACGTAGCTAGAGTTGTGTACCTTAAACTGGTCTTCCGGGTGTGTTATAGACCTGGCCTGAGATCCCAGTTTTAGACCCTTAATTCTGCAGAATGCAAATTTGTGGATTTTGTTTTAAGGAAAAATATCAGTCAGTTTAGCAGTTAAGGAATTTTGTGCTTGGTGATAGGGAGCACCTGCACATCATGGTGGGTTCCCCCTTGAGTGAACTTGTAGGTGTGTAGGCAGCTGGCATCAGTGACTTCTCTCGTCTAGAAGGGGAAAATGGTGCTATGAAGTGCATCAAGTTCTTGGCTGCCTCAAAGGCCTCTGGTATCGATGGGGGTGCCAGCAGATTCAGGGAGCATTGTGGATGTGGACTTGACCTCCCTTCATGGGTAGGAGTCAAGTCAGGCCTAATTGTGGAGTTTGAGTAATGGTTCTCTCATGGTTGTATATCCCTCAATTTAGAGGAAGTCCATCCCTCTGACTTCTTCTCTTCTGAGGCACCAGTATTGGCACCTCTCAGCTGTTCCCCTTGCTGATCTGTGATGGTGCCTGGAGAAGTCCTTTTTTGGTACCAACAAGGATGGTGCCAGAGTGCTTCGCATCAAGGAGGAGGTGTTTGGTGCAGGGTCTCCCAGTGCTGGGTCAGATTGTGAGTGAAAAGCCTCTTTCATAAGGAGAACCTTCAGCTGCTGCTCTCTGTCCTTTGGAGTCCAAGGGGGAACTCTTGGCAGATGTGGCAATGGTCTCTTTTGTGACTCTCACCCAGGCACCATAGAAGGGGAAGTGAGGGTCACTTTTAGACTTGTGCTTCATACAAACCTCTTTTAAACCCTGGAGACTAAGGCATGCCATGGATCCATGGGTATTAAGAAGGGGGGGGGCAAAGTACTACAACTAGAATTATAACTATGTACACTAACTATCTATAACTACAAAAAAACAGAACTATATACTAATACAAGGAGGAAAAGATGCACTTGCAAAGGTAAAAGCTATGGGATATTCCAGTCTACTGTCACTGTCACTAAAAAGAAATTGAGGAGGTTCAGGTCAGCAGAGCACTATATTAGGCACCACGGAAGTGCAACTTCGGGGGGTGCCCAGACTGACTCTATGGGCACTTTTATGAGAAAATCTTCTGGTCACCATGTATGTGTGGTGAAATACACATGGACAAGGACTCTAAGAACAGTGTGTTTAGTTTTGGCGTATTAATTAGAAAGAGTTCAAAGAAGAGCACAACAATAATTAAAAGATTAGAAAATATACCATATACAGGCAGTCCCCGGGTTACGTACAAGATAGGAACTGTAGGTTTGTTCTTAAGTTGAATTTGTATGTAAGTTGCAACTGGCGTCCAGCTTCAGCCGCTGTTGAAACTGACCAGCAGCAGCTGAATTAGACACGCCTGGGGCAGAGCAGCTGGGGTGCTGCTGGGTTGGTCCAGTAGCGCTGCACCTCGGTGCTGTGGGACCACCCCAGCAGCCCCCCAGCTGCTCTACCCCAGGCGTTGGAGAGAAAAGCCTGGTCTGCTAGGGGGGCGAACTAACTGCGCCCCCCCCAGCAGACCAGGGAGATGCGAGCAGCGGGACTGCTGAGATGCGCCGCGGTCCCGCCGCCCGCGTCCTCCTCGGCGACAAAAGCCATACAGCATCTCCCTGGTCTGCTGGGGGGGGGGTCCCCAGCAGACTAGGGAGACACGGAGCAAAGCCGCGGAGGACGCGGGCGGTGGGACCGCTGAGACGCGCCGCAGTCCCGCCGCCCGCGTCCTTCGCAGCTTTGCTCCGCGTCTCCCTAGTCTGCTGGGGACCCCCCCCCCAGCAGACCAGGGAGACGCAGAGCAGCTTTTCTCGCCGCGGAGGATGTGGGCAGCAGGACCGCGGCATGTCTCGGCGGTCCCCCCGCCCGCATCCTCCGCGGCGAGAAAAGCCCCGTTCGTATGTAGGGATCCGACATAAGTTGGATCCACGTAACCTGGGGACTGCCTGTAGTTGTAAACTTCAGGTGCTTAATCTATTTACTAATACTGAGAATGGTAAGGGGTAATTTGATTACAGCCATAAGTACCTTCCTAGGGAATAATTATTTAATAATGGCCCTTCAATCTAAGAGAGAAAGGTATAATGTGATCCAATGATTGGAAGTTGAAGTTAGACAAATTCAGAATGGAAATAAGGTGTACATTTTTAACAGTGAGAGTAATTAACCATTGGAACAACATACCAAGAGTCATGGTGTTTTCTATCATGGACAATCAAGACTGGATGTTTTTCTAAAACATTTGTTCTAGGGATTATTTTGTAGACGTTCTATGGTCTGTTTAATACAGGAGGTAAGATTTGATGGTCAGAATGATTCCTTCTGGCCTAAAAATCTATGAAGATGGAATCAAACTTAATATATGGAAATATACCTCTCTCATAGAACTGGAAGGGTCCTTGAAGGTCACTGAGTCAAATCCCCTGCATTCTCAACAGGACCAAGTATCATCCCTGACAGATTTGCACCAGATCCCTGAATGACCTCCCCTCAAGGATTGAGCTCACAACCCTGAGTTTAACAGACCAATGCTCAAACCACTGAGCTATTCCAAGACAGGTCTTAGTGAATTTCCACAAGATTTTTAGTTTTCTACCATATTATCATATAAGGAAAGAATCAACCCTACTACCTATTTTTAAATATCAGGGTGTAATTTCAAGACAATTTAAGCATATTAAGAGATATTAAACAATTTCTGAAATCTATATTAACTTAACATTATGCAATACAGAAAATTTTAAAAAACTGTATATTTTATGTAATAATTAGTTCAGTAATTTTATTATACTTAGAAGGCATTGGTTATAAACCATGCAGTGATCATTGGGGTAAATAGGCAAAATGATGGATCTGAACATATAATATACTCCGCTGACAACATATATGCATTAATCCCATTAATGCACATATGAATTATGTGTGTACATTAAGAAAATCATATGGACCATAAACATATTTTCTTCAGATATTATATAACTTTTCATTAATAACATGTGACTCTTGGTCCAAATATCTGATGAAGTGGGTATTACCCATGAAAATGTATGCCCTAATAAATCTGTTAAACTCCAAACCCTGGTCTAC